GGGGGGGGGTGGGGGTGTTAGATGAACTTTAAAGAAGAACTCTGGGTAAAAATTTTATTAGCCCTTGAGTTAAGGGTTAAGTTCTTATTTTTAAGTTAAGTGCTCATTTTTTCTAGGGAGAAAAATAGCAAATAAAACAAAACTATGCTCACCCAATCCTCCGAGCCAGCCAGCTGTGACAGTGCTCCCTCCTGCATTTCTGCTCCTCTACTGTAGCGATGGAATGTCCCTCGGCGTCCTCACGTCCTATACACAGTATTGGACGTGATGCTTTCCAGGACCTTAAACCACTGCAGCGGAGGGGGAGAGAGACTCCAGGAACCGGTCTAAGAGCCAGCATGACCTGAGCATCAGGTGAGTATAACTTTATTTTCCTCCCTAGACAAAAACAAGCAGTTAACCCTTGCAGTGCGGGCATAGCCTCACTGTAAGGGTTAATACAAAATGTACCCAGAGTTCTGCTTCCTTTTTCTTCCTGGTTAATATTTACATGGTGTTAGCGCTTGGGTCAGGAGCTTTAGGCTTTTACAAGGCAGTCAAGAAACAGTTTCCAGTAAAAAGTCATGCAAATATGAAAATAAGAATTTTTGGGGGCTGTGTTTATACTTGGTTCCGAATATAGAATGACATTTCAGAAATTTTTCTTCAGACGATCTTTCACCCTAAATTCACACATTCTGCCCTGCAGTCAGTAAATCGTTGTTCTTTAATATGAGCATGTAGGTTTTTAAAAACTCAAGAGGAAACTGTGCCTGCTTTACCCATAGCAATCAATTCAATTCATCCTGTCATTTCTGCAGCTGGAACTAGGAGAATAACCACTGACTGCTGTGTAAACCTTGACAATGGTTCTTTTCAGTTTTTGTGAACCATGCTGTAGAAAGTCACAGTAGGCTTGGGAAACTGGTGGAACCTGTCACACAAAGGTGCGGATAGGGTCTGCAAGGTCCAGCGATGTAGTCAGCAGGAAGGCTTTGAGTCATAAGATAACCAAGCCTAATCGGCTGCCTTTATCTTGTTGAACCTTAAAGTTTGGAGTGTAAGGGACTCCCTTCTTAAGCCAATTTAGCTTTTCAAAGACTTAAGCTTTTAAAACATGTTGAGTTTCTTTATCAGGCACTATACGATATTGGCTTTAAAAGACACATATTTATACCCAGGGCAGCAGTGAAAATACAATAATGATCAGAGCTAATGAGTGTTATTAAGAAACTGAGATAACTAGTCCTTGCACACATAACACCCCAATGTGAGCTGGTGAGAGTGAAGGTCTTTTTGGAATGTCTATATGCCTTTGATCAGTGGCCTATAGGAAAACAGCCTTGCTTGGCAGAGGTAATGTGCTTTAACTCAGCCATAAGTTTTATGCAAAAGACAACTTCTGAATTTATGCTTCTGGCAAACTTTTTTTCCCAGTACATGATATAGTAAAGTGAATTTAGTTTATTGTTGTATGTTAACATAGTACATATTACAGTTGTGCATATGTCTCCCATAAGCTATTCACTCCTGAGGACAAATTTAACTCTGCTTAGATCTGCCAATAGAATCAACATAGAATTTATGCTGAGTTTAAATCCTGTATATTGCCTTTCTCTAGTAATATTCGACAGTATGGCCCAAACGTACTGACTGTCAGTTGTGTTGTAATCTTTTTTTCCAATTTATTTTTATATTTGTAAAAAATACATTTGCTTGTCGGGTTTGTAAATTCAGTCATATTGCCATTTGTTTTTTTCTTGCGATACTTCTTGCGCTTTTATTCAGTTGGTTTTCCTTTTCTTTTGTGTGCAGAGTATGATTTCTTCCATTGTGAACAGCACTTACTATGCAAATGTCTCTGCAGCAAAATGTCAAGAATTTGGAAGGTGGTATAAACATTTCAAGAAGACAAGAGATATGATGGGTAAGTACAAAAACAATTGTATAAAGGGATTGTTTTCAGTGACATTGGTTAAAGTCATAATTAGAATCCTTCAGTTTCACAATTGGGAGCCAATATAAATTTTGTGAATTGTAGTCAAGGAAGAGGATAAGTGTGATGTGTTCAGTCTTTTTGTTGTAGTGACTCTAATCTAGATCCTTCAGGCTGTTAGTTATACCAGAAATGGGTAAATTAATGTATTTAATTGACTGTTTATTTGATTCTACTCTTGTTTGCTTTGCTGCGCTAATTGTGCAGCAGCAGAACGGATAACCACCGCCATGTCAGCATCACACAAGCCATAGCTTATTAAAAAAACATTCGTGTTTGTGAATGGTTTGACTTAAACATTAGTTAGCAATAGTACAGGTGGTTTGTGCCCCAATAAAACCTCACTTGAAGCAAGTCTATCAAAGGCCTAATGTGACCTTTGTGAGTACAGAGTTATTGGAGTATTTAGAATGACACAACTGATGTCCTGTTTCCTCTTTGCTTATTTTAAAAATCAAAGCTGTCATTGAGCTTAATAGATATTGCCTCAAAGCTGTCTGACTTTCAAGCTACATTCCAGTTCCAGGGCAGTCAACTCACTTATACTGGTGCTGTGCAGGTTCCTTACCGTCATCAGAGCAGTGTGTAGCTTGTGAGTTTGACAGAGGATGCTTTCTTTAGAAGGGTATTTTGCTTGACAACAGAGTACCTTTAAGCATATTTTACAATATAAAGAAAGTCCACTAATAATTGTTTATGTCTAGTAAAAATCCAAATCATTAGTGAAAAGGCAATTTTGTCATTTTTGTGCTAATTCAAAGTTTGAAGCGATTAAGCTACAGTGATGTTTTGCTATCTCTATAAGGACAGTGATAATTCTTACACAAACCACTCAAAGTCAGACAACAAATTTGCACCATTCCTTTGTACGCTATGCGTTAAGCTGTGTGGCAACTATGGGCTGTGATTGACTGTGTATTATTTCACAATTCCTTGATCAAAGTATATTTTTGGTGGTATTTGTGGAAACCGCTTATTTAGCTTGGTCCTAAGAGGTCAGCTTCATTCACCTGAAGAGTAGTATTACTAGGGTTGTTCCTTGGTTCTTCAGTAAGGGGACAATTACACGTGTTTGTGCATTAAGGCATGTTGCATTCAGGCACTCCACTTATTTTAAATGGGCTTCCTCAACTCACAAACAAAAATGGCATTGGTAGGTCTGCAATCACCTTCTCACCATCATGCCTGAAGCCATCCCACCAAAGAGCCTTCATGCCTGCGCTCCCACCACAGCAGCTGACCCCCATCTTACTCCCTCTCTAACCATTGCGCCATACCCCCATCCTTTCCCCCGCTCTCACTACCTCTGGCACATGTCCCCATTTCACTCGCCACTGCACCACCACCATGCCTCAGCCTCACAGCCACTGTACCAATTGGCACTTCTGTGCTCTTTACCACTGGAAGTGACACACCCTTCCATATTCAGCCCATTCATTGTACCGCCACAATTTTTCTAGCCTGTTCACATAAGCCTGTTCACACAGTGTGACACTAAACGAAGCCAGGTTAAGGCCAGTAAAACAAGTAATGTTCTGTATAGAAGAGCTGTTCCTAGCAGACAGGTGTTTCTTTGGGCACCATAGGTTGTGTGCCTGCAGGTTCCAAATGCGCATTGTGTACAGATGTGTATTTCTTTATAATGCTTATTAAAAGTTTTGTTTCCCCTCTCTAAGATTAAGTTGTTCATACGTGTGTACACAAAACCATTTTCTTCATTATGCAGAAAAGTATCCAGTTTAAATGACATGTATAAAGTCCCATTACTTTTTATTTTTTAGGGAATGCTTTAAAAGCGGTAGATATGTAGTTTGTAAATACATTTGTCAGCTACTCCTTTTTTAATGGTTTATACATACACTTAATAGATGTCTCTTGCTGTGGCATGTAAATTATAGTGTGCTTTGTTTAAGCATCCCTTTTTTTTTTTTTCATTGCCTTCCCAATTATTTTGGCACAGCGAAAGTGCTGAGATTTTAGCTGCTTCAAGCACTAGAGCAAAGAGAGTATGCATATAGACAAATTACCTTTTTAATTAAAACAATGCATTGTTTTCTGTTGCATTGTTTTGAGCTGTCAACTTGGCCTGATCTGTGCTTTGCTGCAGAATATTGTCCCTAATCTAGTCTGTTTCTGCTCTTACTGCCCATTGCAGAAACAAGACATTATTGAGCCCATTTAAGTTTAGTCCGAACTCCAGGCAAACCGCTAAATACACAGATGATTGGGAGCTATTTTATCTTCCAAAGGATTTGTACTTTTGTCAGTCCAGTCCTGAGACTTACACAGCTCTGTCACACAACAAAGGACTGCCTGTAAGACCTGATTTTGTGCTGCTGCCTTTACGTAATGCTTGAAGGTCTTGTCCCTTTCCCAGCTTGTGACTGGATAGTGAAAGGAGATGCAGCAGGTCAATTTGCTCATCTCTTTGTCACTCTGCTCTCTTCTCTGTCACTCTGCTCTTATTAGCATGTTCCTTGTTAGCACATGAGCATTGCAGCACAACTGATCTGGTCCTTGTGCTGCCCTTTCTTCTTGCAGTCGGTCAGAGTGTTGCTGTACAGAAACTGTAAGAGGCTAGTACTAGATTAAATTCAGCTACTTACACTGTTTGCATTATTAAAAAAATGCATAAAATGATGTAATAAATACAGAGCTGCATTGATTTGTGTATTTTTATATATGCATGGAGCTGAGCTTTAAAGGAGAACTATGAGGTGAGTGATTTCCACTCATCCTCATAGTTAGAGCCGAATTGTGACATTGAAACTGTCACGCCGGCTCTATTGATCGGGAAGTGAGCGAACACATACCGTCGCTCGCTCACTTCCCGATTATCTCCCTGCAGAGAGCAGTGACTGTCAGTCACCGCTCCCCGCAGGGATTCCTCCCCTCCCCTCTCCGATCCTCCAGCGCGGACTGGAGGAATGGACGGGGAGAGGACGGGCACAGCTGGCTCTGTCTCTAGATAGGCAGAGCCTGCTGTCAATCAACCAGGTGGCTGGATCTCGACAGTATTTTGGAATCCGTCTCGACTGCAGTGCTCTCAGTATTTAGCTGGCAATAGCCCACTATATACTGAGCTTTGGGTCACGGGAGGAGGTTACTATTTGTCCTCCTGTGACCATAAAGACAACTATGCAACTATGGGATAAAAGGTTACCCCATAGTTCTCTTTTAAGCCCATTTTTTCCTTTTAGTTGTTAATTACATATATGTGCAAATTATGTAAAGCAGCCCATTCACTTGGAATAGGTTCCTAAGGAGCCTCAATGCATGATGAAACATAGATGCATTGCTTTTTATTGTATATGTGTCTTGGGATGTTATTCAGAATAAATGGCAACATACATTTAGGCCCCATCCAGACCTGAGAATGAGGCCAACCGTATAAGTCTCCTGAATTCCTTTGCGAGATTCATGTGATCTGCTAGAGACAGGAGGATCTGTAAAATACATTGTAGCTGTTCACACAGTCTGCAATTACCTGTGGATTATCACACCTGGATGCAAACAGTCTGCGTCCAGGTGCAGTCATCTGTAGTTAATCGCAGACTGTGTCATTACTTGCAAAAGGCCTGCAAACAGATGCAAGCAGTGGCAGATAATGACATCTGCCACTGCTCGCATCTGTTTGCAGGCATTTTGCAAGTAATCACACAGTCTGTGATAAACTGCAGATAACTTGTATAATACAATGACGTATTATACAGTGCCTCATAACCACAGCAGATCACAATTCTCATCGAGGCATTCATGAGACTCTTGGAGTTGTCACCATTCACAGGTGCGAATGGGGCCACACCCCAGATAGCAAGAAATTGTGCTGCAAGTTTGAAAATGACTTGCTAAACTCTTGCAGACTTGCCAAGCTTCACCATTTTGTTGCACAATTACATCAAGTCTGCATTGCAAGTCTCCAGACCAGCGAGCTTGCAGAGCTCTTGCTAAGACCTGCAGGACTCTTGCTGTAGACTTGCCAAGCAAATTTGCTACAAATTCAAAAAGTGTCAACTAGAACTTGTGCTGCGAGTGTTCTGCAAGTCTAGAACTTGCCAGGAATGTGTGCAGCAAGTTAACAAAATTACAATTTCACCCCACCACAAGTTGGTAGCAAGTTATCCTTGCTAACTGGGACAGTGCATGGAAGTACAAAGGAGGTCAGAGAGCAATTATTAGATATGTATTTAAAGGAGAACTATGGGGTTAAGGCTTTTCCCCATAGTTCTCCTTAGGGTAACGGGAGGACACAAACTAGCATCCTCCCATCACCCTAGGCTCAGTATACCGCGAGCTGTAGCTCGCGGTATACTGAGACGCCGCAGTATACCGCGAGCTGCTGCTCGTGGTATACTGAGAAGCCGCAGCTGAAGCGGATCCCGACAATTATGTCCGGATCCACCGAGCTGCGTGACTGACAGCTGGCTCTGCCTGTCTAGAGGCAGAGCCAGCTGTACCCCCTCCCCCATCCGTTCCGCCGGTCTGCCCTCCCCTGTCATGACAGAGAGCCGTGACAGGATCGAGAGGTGAGCGAACGCAGGTATGTGTTCGCTCACCTCCCGATCTACTGAGCCGACCTGTGACAGTCTCATTGTCACAGGTCGGCTAGAACAATGAGGTGAGTGAAAAGCACTCACCTCATAGTTCTCCTTTAAGATTAAAGGCACATATCCATCAAGTACACAGCTAATGCTTTGACACATTTCACACCAGCAGTCCTGAGGCCAGTATGAAACACGTCAACAATTTATGCTTTCGATGCTAGATAAATCTCTGATTATTGCATCGCTACTTCTCAGACCTGGTTTCTTACTTGAATGTGCTTGCAGCCTGGTCAGACGCTTTAGATGTGCAGCTGCCCACAGATGGAGCCTAAGTCCATGACGGCAGCAATGTCATTTTGTTTATACATACAGTGCTTTGTGGTGCACATGCATCATAAAGCACACCCAGGTATGAAGCTGCCCTTAGTTTAGGATTGCATTAGGTTGGTTTAGCACCTTTGTAGGCCTCTGTTGGGAGATTGGGACTTAACTTATGTCCCTGTAGCAACACACTGTGTGGGGGTCTCTCCAAATTGGAATAAAGCAATTACACCTGATAGGTGTTTTAAATCTTTTCTCTCCATTTAATGCTAAAAGAGTATTGCCTTGGGTTCCACTTGAAATAAATATATTGGGGTTGATTTCACTAAGGGAATCCAGACTGTTCACTTTGCAAAGCGAATGTTCATTGAAATTAGTGAATAGGGTGAAGCTGCATTTACTGCAATCAACCAATCACATGTTAGCCAAAGTCCTGTTATTATAATTTCCCTCACACATTATTGGGTATTCTAACTGAAGCCAGGTTCATCTTATTTACTGTAAATTGCTTTTTAAAGTGTACATTCATTTTAAAGAGCCTCTTCTCTAAATAAACCCCACGGTTTGGTTTTCGGGACTGCTGTTGCCATGAGTATGTATGGATAAAACATAAGTATTTGACTGCAAAACACCAAAATTGCTGCAGAGGAAATGACAATTTTAATTATACGTGTATTTCTATGACAAAGTTAACGATGAACTGGATTGAGCACTGCCTGGCGGATTTTGTGAGAACTGGAGCTAAAGAATCATGAGCGCTCTTGCCTGTAACAGCCCGTAATTGGTGTTCATCTCCAGGGAAAATCACACATGGTTGCTACATGAAGCACTTTTTTCCCTTTCTTTTTTTGATCTGCCTTTGAATAACTTTACCTTACTTTCATGCAGTATAGATTAATACGCAAGCCTAGCTGCAGAATGTAGACAATTCATATTATAGCACAAAATGTTCACATACAGATTATTGTACTTGTTAAATTAATTGTCCATTACTTAATTAACACCGGGCAAGACCAAGCAGTCACGTCGCCAATGTGCCTTAAAAATGCACCTGACGCCTAATTTTATTATTAGTACTCTTGCTAATGGACTCACATATTTTGGCTGTTCGAAAGTCATGGGGCTGATTTATGCAACTGAAGATGAAGTGGGTTGCAGTGGGCGAAAGATCAAGCCATGGCGTAGTATTCTTTGATCTGTTTTTAATAAATCGGCTAGCTATGGTATTTTTACATTTATATCTGTAACAGTGACCTTATATGTGGGATTACGAGTGGCTTTAGCTTTTCACCAGGCCCTTTTAGGCAAAATTTGCTGCTATGTATTTGGGTATGTTTTTGTATTGCTGACAACGCATCCAAATGGTTGGATTTTTTTAGGTTTGGTCATTTGTATGTATAGTAGATACATGAGATACATCCAATTGGCCTGATTACCGACTACCACACAGGGACCCATGTCAAATCTGCTGTTGTATGGCATGCTTACCTGCATTAGTAAAATAAAACTTCTCCAGGATTTGTGCTCGTGTATTTTGTGTGTGTGACACCAATACAAACCAAGTACATAAGTCTGATGTAACCTGAATTAGAGGGTTCTGCGCATTAACCCGGGCATAAAACTGTGTTTTTCTGTGTCTGTATATAGGGAATATTTTTTATTTAATTAATACGAGTGAACTTTGACTTCTTAACTATCTGCTAGCAGAATTAATCAGATATCCTGCCCAATGCCAAAATCTATTTTGAAATGGGCTCATCACTTATCTGAACTTTTCAAATACAAGGTCAGCACTGTATTAATTCAATGACCCACAGGCCATTTAAAAAATAATAATCCCAATGTGCCAGATGCCAGTATGAATTCATACTTTGACCAATATAATAATGCAGCTGAATTTGTTGATGATGTCCGATATCATATGTCACTAGCTTGGCTAGGGTATTATTTGTTCTATTATTATACGGTAGCTTTTTTTCAGATTGCTGCATCTGTATTCGTTCTCGTGGCAGGCCACATTTCACAGGCGATAAGCCATTCCCTATTGCAGACTGTGTACATTACAAGACATTAAAAAGACAAGACATTACAAAGCATTGCAGATGCTTGTATTCATTGGTCAGATTTTAGAAAAAAATATATATCTTGTCCTTGACAGGGATATAAAAATCAGGTGTATAGTGTGAAACGTTTTATGTAAAATGCTCTTTCATTGCATCATATTATATTATCATCTGATCATTTCCATCCCCGACCTTTTCCTGTGAAAGAGCCCCAGGTAATCTTCTGCATGCAAACATTTATGACAGATAAGAGTTCAATAAACTGGGTAGCTGTGCATGGCACTGTCATTCCTGTGCTTTGGTAAAGTACATGAGAAGAAAACCTAGGATGCTGTTGCTGAACTCTACTTCTAAAGTTGTCACGCTCATCTTCAGGCTTTAGTACTTTCTGAGTCACTGTCCAATGTCACTGTCCAATTTGCTAGCTTCTTTTTCTGCATACTTGTTTCAGGCAAGTGACACCTAAGGGTCTATTCATACAAGTTTTAACACTGATAAGGCTCTCTAATTTTGCCATGTGACTGTAATTTTCAAATCTCATTGGTCTCCGCTGAAAATAAATGTCACTTTTATGAATAGAAGTATTGTAATCTTGGTGTATTATCTATGTCAATTGAGCCTAGCGTATTGAAGTTAGATACAGTCAGGCAACAAGCATTTTCAGAAAGCGTTGACACCTTCATCTTTCTCTTACAAAAGGTGTTCTTTTCTTTTAATGTTGCCTTTACTTCATGCCTATAGTACCTTCAGCAAACTCAGCACTTCTCCACTTCTCTACAAAGGTATAAAATAGGAGTCTCCTTCGACTTGACCTTTTGTCATCAACATCATACTGAAGAAGTGAGCAGTGCACTTCTTCAGTATGAAAAGATGGTAAAGTAAACCAAGAAAAGTGTTAAAAATTTTGCAATAGACAACCAGCCTTTCATCAAAGACCTTAGAGGTACATTTGAAGCATAGCTGAATATTAAACCTGGAGATGCATGCAGGAAGAAAATACTTACATGGTAGGTACTTCAGTTCTTAATCCAGGCATTGCTGTAGTACAATCTACTCCAATACCTTTTGTTAGTAAACAGATGATCGGAGAACACCATTTTATGAAGCAGAAGAAGAATTTCCAAACATTCCCACTGCAGGCTCCTGGCTGTTTATTTCAAACACAGAGCCTGAATTAAAAAATAGCAGTATTTAATGCATCACAGCCACCAGACATATTTAAACCTGCCTGGTCAAGTTACAATGTGAGTAGTGATCCAGGAAGTAAAGAGAGGAAGCACATGCTTTAGAAAGTGCTCATCCAGTAGTCTTGTCAGGTTTGCTCTGGATTCTGGCCACAGCAGAGGACAGAGAACTCCAAATAAAGTTAACTTGAGTAAATGAGGGAAGGACACCTCAGCAATACTACATGCACATGCAAGAAACAGGGTGCAAGTAAATATTTAGCATTGAAAGCCATTTTACACTGCAAACCTAAATCTCAAGTACAATACATACTTCTGTACATTATTATGGTACTCAGATTTATAGGTACTAATATTTTTATTCTGTCCTTTTGTAGTTGACATGGAAGATACAAATTATGAACAAAATACAAATCACGTGAACTTTGGTCAGCAACCCGTTCCTGGTAATACCCCTGAAAAGCCTTCATCCCCTGTACAGCTCTCTCTGAGCAGTCAGCCACCTGTCCGGACACCGCTTCCTAATTTGCATCCAGGACTTGTATCTGCTCCTATCAGCCCTCAGTTAGTTAATCAGCAGCTGGTGATGGCTCAGTTACTGAACCAGCAATACGCAGTGAACAGACTTTTAGCCCAGCAGTCCTTAAACCAACAGTACTTGAACCATCCTCCTCCAGTCAGTCGATCAATAAACAAGCCTTTGGAGCAACAAGTCTCGCCCAACACAGAGGTGTCTTCAGATATCTACCAGTGGGTACGTGACGAACTGAAACGGGCAGGAATCTCGCAGGCAGTATTTGCACGTGTGGCTTTCAACCGAACTCAGGTAAATTAAGTTCTATTTTGTCTTGTGCAGTATTTAATTTATTGTGCTGTGTTTTTTTTTATGGAAATGTATGGCGATGTTCATGTTAAAGTGGACCTTTACCCCCTTTTACTAAAAATCAGATCCGCATGCAGCTCTGCATGCTGATTTAAAATCATATTACATTAATTAGTTAAACTTGTTTTCATTTACTTACAAATAGAGTTCATCTACTTCCTGGTCCAGTTCTGGCACAAATGATGTATGCGCCAAAGCGTTGCATCCTGGGAAGGTTACATCAGCAGAGCATTGCTGGGAAATCTCATCTGTAATCTCATGAGATCTCAAGGAAAGGCATTTTCCTCTTTTGAGATGATGTGCATGGTCACATGTTCTAGCCACATGTGTCAGAGTTCCAGGAAGTAAAGGGAGATCTAGTATCCTGCCCTTAGTTAACATGGCCACTTTTAGAAGAATGGGGAAGAAATGAGAAATAAGGTATGCAAAAAATACAAAGCCTGAAATTATCTAGAAGTATCTGTTGTAGATTGTCATCAAAACATTTGTAAAGGTATGTTTGTTGTTATTTTAAAGATATGGGTAAAGTTCCACTTTAAAATCAATACTGAAGTCGAGGAGACCTAATTCTTCCACGCACCTGTTTGACAATAAACTTTAAGTGGTATAAATGGATGCATTTTGGTGGTTGTATGATTGGATAATCCTGTTGGGGATTTTTTAGCAGCATTTTTAAAGGTTGTAGGTCGTAAAAGCAGCTGTGACACAGAAAACTTACAGCAAGTTTTTTGTTTTCATAACCTGGTATAAAAATAGCTTGACAAGTTCCCATTCACAAAAATTTCTTCATACTGGTTGATGTGAACAAAGCTTGTCTGTAATTATTTACTGTGTTATAAAGTGAATATTTTACTTATTTTTCATGTCCTATTCCACCGCAGTATTAGGCTTGAGTGGGCTGCCTCAGTTCTCTTTGGATCATTGCAACATACTTTGGTCTAAACATTGCATGGAGTTTTTGATGTATGTTTGGTGAGTGGTGTTGAATGTATTGCTTGTTTTGTGCATTAGTTGGATTTCATGTAGTTGAGTATTATGCCTTGCACAGTTTGCAAACGTTAGTTTTGTACATTTGAATAGATTGGGACAGAAAGGTGAGGACCTCAACATTCTAGTGCACATTCCATACAAGATATATAGAGTGACTGATTTGTAACTGGAGCAAAGATAGGTTTACAGCAAACATCCAGAATTTGTTTTGCCCCATTGCATATTGGAAACTGAAAGTGAAAATTGATGTTTCATAAGTCATATTCCAGTGAGTGTTTTGTATCACTGTTTTTTTTATAAGGCTTTATACAATCAGTATGAGGGGATATGTCATACCATGTATCAACACAGTGCGCCTGAAGTAACCAAATAATTGTGGGGCCAATATTTAAAAAATATAATCAAAAAAACACTCTCTCCGTATCACCTAGTTTTATTGGTAAATCTCACTTAGCTTTAATGCAGTTTATAGAAGTTTTATATGGGAAGTTGCAATACTAAAGTGACCTGCATTAAGATAAAAAGAAAAACATGAAAAATAGTGATGGTCCAGCAAAAATGGACTGAAAGTGTGATGGACTGTATGATCAGCGAGAAAGGAGTGCTGTACGCACATTGCTTCCTGTGGGAGATGTCACATGCCGGGCTGCACAGGAGATCGAGCACACTGCTGTGCTCGATCTACAGTTTCGGAGGGCAGGCTCCATAGAGAGAGCCTGTCACCTCAAAATGCTATTACATAGGAGCTTGTTAGGCCCTGTGTATTAGCAATAAAGTTAAGTGAAAAAGAAAGTGATAAAAAAGTATAAAAAAATAAAAACCAACCCTGCCACCCCCACCATCTGTATGCCAATAATTGCACGCGTAGGGTACTGAGTGTGTGTGCGCTTCCCAGTGAGTGCTGCCCCCATTCCGCTGTGTGCCATATTGTGGTAGCCGGGGTAAGTTCACTTTCCCAAGTAATTTGGGAAAATGGAATTACCTGCTCAAATCTGTCCCCCTCTCCCCACCCCTCTATACTTGCCTTTTGGTGAATGGTCCTTTCCCTCCGCCGGTATCATACCCCGTACTGCCATCCAGTGCAGCCCTGTGCTATGGATTTCGCTCACAAATATGCGACCACTCATTCGTCAGCGCTGACACCTGACCACGCTGACCAATGAGAAGTGCTTCTTGGCACACTTAAATACGGTTTTGGTTAAAATAATTTTTTGTATTAGAAGTAGATTGCCATGAGGGACAAGTAGATTGGGCCCCCGCTTTAGACCTTGGACAAGTAGTTTTAAAAAAAAATGTCCACACCCCTGGTGATCTATTGATATATATTTGATTGGATAGTGGCATTATTTAAAGCATCTTTATTAAAGTTTATGTAAATCCTAAGAAAGAACGTATTTGCTCTCTTTTGGTCTGTTAAATATATCAACAAAATTGTTTTGTTATATCGGTTTGGTGAGTCAGGGCTGGACAAATTCCTGGAGCCAGGTAGTCAATGCTTCTTAAACATTACAGCTGGCAACTAACGTTTAAGGTTTTTAGTTGTTGTCAATGGAGCTGGTTCCTTAAAAAAAAAATTTTGCTGGGTCCTGAAGTGGACAGAGTGGCTCCTGAATTCCACATGAATTGTCCACCCCTGCTGTAAGTGCAACAAATACCAGTTAGTCCTGCTAGAAATCCTATAAGCGTCTAACTCCTTGTACACTCTGCCTGTGCTACACTGAAACCTCAAGCAGTGTTGTTGGCTACTATTACTGCCCATGCTCTCTTCTGTAAATTACAGAATACTCTTTCCTCCGAGGTATGAAAATGAGGAATGGTTCTGGGGGGGTCAAAGTCAACCTGTACCCCTGCTACCATACTCGCCTAGGTGAGAATGCAATTTCAGTCCCTTGAGGATACTGACGACTCATATCCCTGTAGACATTACTTTCCACCATTCATAGAACAACATTGAAAAACAGAAGTGGCATCAGATCTGGCACATGCGCAGACAGAGATCTGGTGCCTTGTCTGTTTACATGTTCTATGAATGGTGGAAAGTGATGCCTCCCGGGATATGTGACATCAGTATTTTAGGAGACATTACTTTCCACCATTCTTAGAACAACATGTGAACAAACATGGAGCCAGATCACTACCTGCACATGTACAAGATCTGGCACCATGTTATTGGACAAGAACCAAGAAGAGATAGCCAGCTCTCCATGACGTAAAGAGGAGTATGGCAGTGCAGGGTGGGACCTGTAGGAGGAAAAGACTGTGAGAGGAGAGGGCAATGCTATATCTGCTGGGCTTGCAGGTATATTAATATAGCATAAAGAGAGCACGAAAAGTAAAGGGGAAAAAAGACTGACATCACTACAGGTTTACTTTAAATTGGAGCATTATTTTTAATGTGGATATCAGAAATGACATTAAAAATAAGTTCTACAATCTCAAAATGAGCACCTCTTTGCAACCATGGTTTCAGGGGTTACGTTTTTACTTTCTGCAACCTAAACATGTTCTCAGTTTATTCATTGATTTAAATTGTAGCTCTCTTCTTTTTTTTTTTCACATGGAAAAATATGCATTCTCTAAGAGGAATAGTTTTACCTTTAGGGTGAATTTCTGTTAAAGTGCTAAACCACTTATGGGAAATATTTAGCATCCCCATAGATGAATTCAGATGGCTCATGCACCAATGTATGCGGTCTGAACAATTTGATGCAACAAACTACTTAAATTCCAAAACATATGGGACACCTGGATCAGGCACTACCTGCTTGCAAGCTTTGACTGCTCCTGCTATGTTTGAACCCCCTCTTTTTTTTTCTCTCCACTTCTTTCATCCCTTCACTCTTTTTCTTTTTCTCTCCTTTTTTCTTTTAACCTCACCCTCTCCCCACCTTTTCTGACCATGTTCACACAAGCCCCTAATAACCAACCTTTATTCAGTCCAACCAAGTCACTGTTCTGTGTTTTACATTACCTTCCCCCGGTGAGCTTTCTACCCTTATAGCAGTGGAAACCCCACCTGAGCCTTGAACCCCTAACCTATAGAACCTCTAACCATAGAATATCTAAAAGAAGATCTGGTAAAAGCAGCCAATCTGCTTCTTTCTTGGCTTTTGCAGCACTAAGAAATAGTTCCATGTACAAACAAAGTAAGGTATTCAGTAGAAACATTAGCTGGCTAAATATAGTATGTAATGTATGTAATAGAGTATGCAGCAGTCTGAAAGACCATATATGATGCAGAGGTGACAGTAGAAGGGTTTTGCAATGGCCCTCTATAAGGTCAGAAGAGGTCATAACTGTTTTGGCATTTAGTAGACAATCACAGCAGATGATTACAAATGGATGGTTGGCATTAGGAAAAGTCTTTTTTCTATGCTTGTGTCAATTTTCATCCTTGAGTCCTCTGACTACTAATCAATGGCTATCATTACCCAGAGTTTGGAAACTTTTATTATTTTTAATGCACTCTCATGAAGGTCAGTAGCCTAAAAATAATATATAATGTACGGTTTGTTTCCTGTGTAGAATGTGTTTATGTGACCTCTCATTTAGTGTACTCCTTAATACTGTACTTCTGCTAATAACTGTCTAAGAAAACTTTGCAATTGTTTTCAGTGCTTACAGCTGGTATAATGATGGCATGTGTAACAAGCATCAAAGCAATGGAGAGGTAGTGGAATACAAGAAAGGTTACCACTGGTTCGCTGGTTTGAATAGTTGCATTAAAAGTTAGCTGCTGAACTCACAGGAAAATGTCACTGTCTAGCACTTTGAGTGCGAGTAAACCTGGTCATGATTTGCTAAGTGCTGTAACCGACCCATCTAATTCAGCTTTAAAGCTATATCCTGAACTCTCTAAGTACCTCGGAGGTCAGTAATCTGGGTTTCATTTGGAAGTCGGATAGTGGGTGGTAGGAAATAATTCCACATTCATAGAAATCGTGGTCTGTTTG